CTTCTTGTCCTCCTGTTCCAGGGCAGCATGCTTCCAAAGTTGTGCATCTTGACAGCTTCCAATCTTGGGACCAACTTCATCATGATGTCCTCCGGCAAATTTGGAAAAAGCTGTTTCAGCTTCACCGTCAAGGCCAGCTCCAAATCGAGCTTCAAAGGATCTACCTCCTCCGGCTTCTTGAGAAAAGTTCGCACCATGGCCATCTTCCTCAACTGATGTACCTGGTAAAGCTCCAGCCACTCCAAAATCTGCCGTCCATCCCTCAAAGCTATCATAGGACATCCATGTTGAACTTGTACTTCAATTTGTCGGCCCTCATCGTCTTGAATGGAGCAACTATTGCCAGTCCAGTGCATGTTGAAGTCCAGCTCTGTCAATCCTCCCATAGGCACAATCCATGCCTCAGGTTGTCCTGGTTCAGACAAGAGGATCTTGGTGCCCTTCTTCAGCCGAAACCTTGACGTAGATCCCTCCGCCAGAGTCACCACTGTCGGCTCAGCACACTCCCACTCCACCATGTCTCTTGCAGGTCGCAGAGCATGTGTTGCACCAGCACCAGATCAGGTTGCCCATGTTCAAGGTCTCCTATTCTCATGACGTTGATCTTTGGCTGGACCCTGAGTGACTTCAGGAGCTGTGTTGCTTCATGAAGTAGATCATCGGTTTTTGTCTTTGGCATTTGATCTCCTCCAGTTCCTCCGTCACCCAGTCCTTTGTTTCCATCCTCCACAACTTGTTTCACCTCCCCCGGAGACGCCGTTGAGGAAGTCATAGAGGAAGATCCAACATCCTGAGTTTTCAGGGCTTTCGCAGTGGCTGCAGCTCCTGCTTTTCCACCTGGCCATGAAGAGGATCCTGCTGTTGTTGTAGTACAAGCTTCACTCCCCCCACGTCCTTGCCCAGTAGTTCCTCCCCCTGAGCTGTTTTGCTCACCAGGTTTTCTGACCCTGAGTTTACAATCCTGCTTCTTGTGCTCCTTGCTGCCGCAGACAAAGCACCGATTGGCACGATCATCCAAGGTTTCCCAAGCGTGGAGCCATTTGCAGCTTTTGCCTGCCTTACAGCCTTTGTCAGAGGCAAAGTATCGACATGGTTTGTCGGCTGTGGGGCTCGGCTTGGCCTTGGTGTCATTGTTGGTGACCTTGCCAGGAGATTTCATCTCTGCATCGAGCTGCTTGAGCTTGAGGGGCACCGAGGATGTTGTAGTAGTGGCTGATGATTGCAACAGCACCAATGTTTCCGCCTCTGCCAACAAACACTGGCTAAATGCCCACAAGCTCTGATGGCTTGGTTGTTGATCCAGCTGGAGTTGCATCCTGCTCTGTGCCAACCTGAAAGCAGCCTGAGCATCAAGAGTCCCCAGCTGTTGCAAGGGAGCATCTAATGCCTTCAGGAGTAACACTCCATCAGGCAGCGTTGCCTCAACTTCTTGTGCTCGTCCAAAGTGGCGCCTCCAGTTTCTCAAACTCGCTGCAAGCTCCTGCACATCTTTGGACTTTGGAAAGGCTGTCAGTTGCGTCAGCAGCAATTGCTTTTCCCCAGCACCACCAGGTTGAAATCTCACCAGCAACTTGTAGATGATGCCAGTCGATGACAGGACACGGTCCGTCACCAGAGCTTGCTGCTCTGCTGCAGGGATGGCCTTGAGGAGCATCTGAATCCCTCGTTGCTCTGTTCTTTGAAATTGGCCCTCCTTCAAGTCTTCCGGCAACTTGGGAAGGATCTGAATCCTTTGAAGTGGTGAGCTTTTCCTCCACTCCTCATAGTATCCTTTGGCCTCCCGCAACGTTGTTTCCCACCACCAACCGGCTGCCGCACTGATGTCCTTCATGATGGGTGTGATCAAGTGCAGCCAATCACCAAACTGCAAAGGAGATGAATCAGCTGGAAGGTCAGGGAGTTCTCCTTTTGTGTTCATTGATCCTGATCCTTCCGTCCATGGGCCATATGTCCGACCCAGGTACTTTCCATCTCCCGCTCCACCTCCCCCCACATCATGCCGTGGATGGTCACCGAAATGTCCAGGTCCGCAGTCAAATAGTCCCCTTCTTGGATCACTTCCCAACTGCCTAGCCCGATCTTGTTCAGGTAGATTCCCATGCTCAAAAGCCCGAGCTCCTTCACGATGTTCACCATGCAACATGGGAGCCCGACCGTCGCCTTGATGTGCACCGTGCAACATGGAAGCCCGACCTCCGCACTGATGTTCACCATGCTCAATGGGAGCCCGACCACCGCCTTGATGTGCACCATGCTCCAAAAAAACCCGACCTTCACGGAAATCTCCCCCATGCCCCAGTGCCCGATCTCTTCCAAGATGTTCACCCTGCAGATACGCAGCCCGAATGCCGCTAGGGACTGCAGAAGCGGATGCTGGTGCCCGATCCAATAGAGCTCCATCACCACATCTGCCCTGCTCAGCCCGAGGCCGAAGACGAACATCTCCTCTTCCATCATGAAGATCCCGGACACCGCGATGCAATGCCAGTGCAGTTGCCGCAGGGTCAGATCCAGGGTTTGATGGCCCTAACCGCTGAAAACCCTCATTCCAATACCCTGATTCATGAAAAGCCGTTGGAACTGAAACTTTTGCAAGCGCATTCCGAAGAGATTGAACTTCTCTCTCTAACCACACCTGTTTCGCCTCATGAGCAGACAGCAAACCCTCTCCTTTGGGCTTCCAGTTCACCTCACCATTCTTCGCACCCGGCTTCGACTCACAGGTGTCGTACATGTTGAAGGTGCTGACAAAGCTGTCGTCAGCTACTGGCTGATCATCCACCACAGGAAGCGGTGGCACAGGTGGGTAAATTGGTACCTCTACTGAAGGTGGTGGTCCATCTGGTACTTTAGTTCCATTTGGTGTGAATTTTGCATGGTTCTTTCTGACTCCATTCTCAGGGCTAAGTGCGTGTTCACGAACTTTTGACCTGGGTGTCCTACTCCCTTGCCTTCCAGGGCGAGGTGGTTGTGAGATCCCCATAGTGCCCTTTGAACTCTCATCCGAAGTCACCCCAATTGCAGACCAAGGTGAGGACTCAAACCCAGTTTCGGCTGGCACCGCCGACATACTCTGCATCTTGCCCTTGAGAACCGCTAATTCATTCATTAGCTTCGAATTCTCATCCCGAAGGTAGCCCACAAGTTCACTTTCTAGTGCCCTCTGTAGATCATCTACCTTTTTTTCTTGACCAGAACCCATGCTAGCATCTTTCACAGGACCCATAGTTTGATCCCCCACATTTTCATCTGGCAGCCTGCCCTCAGTCCTCATCTCGCCGTGCCCTTTCACCACTGAAGGCATCGAAGACAGCATTCCATCCGGTGCTTGACTCCCTCGCCCCTTCCCAGTAGGCAACATTGACGATTGATGGGGTTGGCTATGCGTACCAAACGAATCTTGCAGTGGATCATTTTCTGAATCACCATCCATTGGGAGATCTGCAGGTCTTGTGGCCCGAAGTGCAAATTCCCCTTGGGTCTTTTGGGAATAAAATGGGTTTCCACTCCATCCAGTTTCACCAGAAGCCCCAGGTCCCCTTGGTGGCATCGATAGGGACCTTTCCATTGCAGCCTCAAGCCCTACCAGAGCGCAATGCTTGGGCTCATAACCCTTGTCAGGTTGAAGGGTCAAAACTGTCTTTTTGTACCAAAATGCCTTCATGGTCAGATGTATTGCATGCTTATCGCACAGAACTGTATTTCGTTTTCGTGAGAAAAAAAATGCAGTTTCCAAATCAAATATTGACGAAGTTGTCAGATTGGCCTGCTGACAGCTGATCTTTGTTTTCTTTGCAGAAATATCTGTCATGGTCTGTCTGAAAATGGGGGATGCCCCCCAATTCCCATTTCCATAGGGAAAATATGGGAAAATGGTGATAAGTCAATAGATTTTAAGCATACCTGATATCAGAGTCCAGTCAGACCAAATCTTAACCTCTTGCCGGACATTTGTGGAGAAATGATGCGTGATTTTCTTTGGCATGTGGCATGTGGTTGTTTTTCTCTATCCGAATCCAAACTTGACGAATATCTTCCACTACCCGGCTGGCGAGCTAGATTTTATATCCTGGAGATTCATGTTTCAGCTGGTTTGGAACCTTTCCATAAAGGAATAGAGCTTGAAGACGGTGTAAATGGTTATGCAAACAGTATCTTTGTATATGCCAACGGCGCCATTAGCGACCCCTGTATGCCATAGTCTTCGTTGGACTGGGGTGGGGTGGGGTGGGGCATGTTAGCGTTCGTTGAACTAGGTGTACTTGAAGTTGATGCTACGCCATCGTCTTCGTTGGACTGGGGTGGGGTGGGGTTGGGCATGTTAGCGTTCGTTGAACTAGGTGCACTGGAAGTTGATGCTACGCCATCGTCTTTGTTGGACTGGGGTGGGGTGGGGCATGTTAGTGTTCGTTGAACTAGGTGCACTTGAAGTTGATGCTACGCCATCGTCTTTGTTGGACAGGCGAATCTGTAAGCAAGTCTTGCACCATGTGAAAAGCTTTATGTGGATTTACAACAATGGTGTGAACCTGTGGACTAGGTTGGGCGCTGTGGCCAAAAAAAACTTCCTGAAAAAAAACAAACAGAGCTTGGCAAAACACTATAAATACCATCAAAAAATGGATTTATGTTGCCCCTCCTTGCAAATACCATGGAAAAAAAGATTGTGGTTTGAGGCCTGAAGCCCAAATACATGGTAATTCCCACGAATGCAGTCGGCAGCTCTGAATACAAAAGTGTGTTTTCGAAGGGGTCGTTAACAACGCCGTAGCCTTGTATATCATAGCGTTAGTAAGATTACTCTTTGGTAATTTAGCATACTGTAGCTATGGAAAAGCACCAGTTTGAACAGCTATTATAATAGGTAATCATGCATTTTTCATTTGCCATATGTTGATTATTAGAGCGATCCAGAGGGTACCCCAGACCCTATCTTCACCGAACATCACCCAGTGGATCCCAAACTGACCGTTTTTTCACCGTTTTTTCACCGCGCTGAGGTCAATTTTATGAACGGACAAGCTATGCACCAGGACATGCTGTGCTTTTCCTGGGCCGGGCCATATTACCAGAAGATATGGGGATTTCCATAGTCATGAGGGGGTACCCTAAAATGGATTGAATCATGGAAAAACCTATTACCCTCTGGTACACGTTTACATAACTATGGAAAATTACCTATTTTCAATGGGTAAATCCACTATTTCTATGGGCCATGGCTTCAATAGCTATGTTAAACTACCAGAGGGTAACATGGATTCTCTATGATTCTTTATTTTATTGGTGAGATCCCTGAATTGGATGACGAGAAACTCTGTCGGACCACCCCATAGTTGGGTAGGTGGTACATACAGGGATTTCCTTAAACTATGTTTATTTAAAACGAATATATCTATATATCTAATATGTTATCATATGTTATTCTTTTATGTTATTCTTAGTTTGATGGTAGTAAATCCAATTGTTTAAAGACTAAGAGAAGATTACTATGGTAGTTGTTCCCTGAAACCAATCCATTGATTCAAGAATGAGTGTCACATGAGGATGGAATCAGTTTGGGTCACGGTTCACCAAGACACATGCACAGATACAGGATGGGCCACCCCAGTTATAAGTTGGTTTATAAACCTCATTAATTAACATCCATTAACTAGTTCGTTAAATCATGTTATATCTACCATAAACTATAGAATTCAGCCACTTATATCTCAACTGAACGCTATCTTTGGGGCCCCATCCTGTACCATGCGGTAATTTTACACAGGAAAATCAGGGAACATCATCAAACTTAAGGGGCCATCTATACGTAATATCTATACCATAAGTCTATACGATAAATATCATATATATATACACCATAAATATAATAAATTTCTATATATATATATACACAATAAATATAATAAATCTATATATATATATATATCTATACCATAAATATAATAAATCTCTCTATATATATATATACGACGAGGCGCTGTGTGTTGCCCGGAAGGTTCAAATGGCGTTTAAACATGTTTAAACATTATCCTTCAACATGCTCAAACACCTGCACAGGGCCAGTGTTTTGAGATTTCCCAGACGACGAACCCTAAACCCGAAAACCTATCGGCTCTCGAAACTTTGAATCCTAAACTGGAAAACACTGCGTATACGCAGTATTTTCTGCCATCTCTCCTATCGTATATTCGACAGCACGACATTCTCAATGTTAATGTCTGGGCAACACACGGCGTCTGTGGGTATATATATATAATCATATACTATATATACAGTACATATATATATATATATACACACCATTGAATTCTGTAACAAAAGACCGGCGTTTCTCCACGTTTAGAGTTTGTTCCAGGAGACCTCTGATTCCTGGGTTCCCGCTATGGCGGTTCCGTCGCTTCCTCAGTGGTAAACCAAGCCATGGCACTTTTGGGGATTTCGCCGAACTTGTTCAGCTTAGTGAATTAATGTGAATTACCCAGATTCCAGGGTTTTAGGCTGTACTCAACCCCTAAGTATGGTATAAATATATGAATCCCAAAATAGTTTTTTTAAGTAGGGGAACAACCGATGAACCCTTGACAGATTGATATGATTTTTGTTTGGATGATTTCCATGGTCCATGAGTTTATGGGTTTCGTGATCGTAGTTGCAACAAAAAAACTGTCAATTCAAACTTTACAATCCACAAATAAGTTTGTATTGGGGTATACCCAATCACAAACCACAATTTTAGATGCTTCATACCCAACCATTTATGGTGAGTCATTGGAAGTGTTGTGGCCAGAGCCTTTCAGCCACCCGAAGCACTACCGATTGGTGCAACCCGAGAATTCTATAGAAGACCATGGCATTTTTCTGTTTTGGTTCCCATAAATCATTCTTGAACCATGTCTTTGAATGTTTGATCACTGATAAACAATGAATGTGCTCACGTTGTTTACTTGTCAGCCACACACAAAGTGGGGCCTCCAAACCATGGGTAACTTGGTAGACATAACGAAGCTAGCATTTATGGGCTTAGGGGGCATATGATCTCGAGTTGGATGGGTGGAATTAAAGTTGATTATATATGTATATATTACAATACAGTATACGCTTTCCTCTAGTTTCTCACGTTTTCAGGTGATTATATATCCAATAAGAATCCCCGACTTTTAACCATATTATAACTTGTAACATCTTACAATGGTGCTTGCCACTTGGCATCTACAGTCTACAGTTCTCACATAGTTGTCTAATACCTATATTCATTGATTAAGTCCATATGATTTTATATTTACCCTCTGGTAAGCTAACAGTTTGCTATTGAAGCCATGGCCATAGAAATAGTTGATTTACCAATTAAAAATGGGTGGATTTTCCATAGTTATGTAAACGTTTACCAGAGGGTATATCCATGGCAAGTTATCCGTATTTGTGGCTCGTCGGATGCCACTCTTTGTTTGGTCACATGAAATCCACACATTGTTTGGTGCCCCAACGAATGATTTAGTTGATTCCTTCCACACATTCAACTTTTGATTAGTATGTATATTACTATATAATACTATATATATATGTATTCACTATTTATATGTAACCTCCATGGTGTTTAACCGATTTGCAGTTATAAACCAACTTACAGGTCATGAATCACATATATAAATTCAGTATTCTGTTGGTTCAGTGCCCATGATTGTGGGTTAAGCTCCTATTTTTGTGGGTCAAAGTTAGCCGTCGCTATTCTTTTTGTTTAAGTCCCGATTTCTATCGCTTCAATTCCCATGTTTCTTTGTTGAAGTCCCAACTTTGTGTTTTCAGCTCCCATGTTTTGTTTGTTTAAGGTCCCATTTTGTTTGTTAGTCCCTACCCTCTGGTAATTTAACATAGCTATGGATAATCACCATCTTTTTATGGGAAAATCCACTATTTCTATGGCCATTTTCAATAGCTATGTTAGTTTACCAGATGGTATATCCTAGTTTTATCTACCATAAACCATAGTTAAACCACTATAGATCACCATAGAGGCTATTTCTATTGCTTCAGTCTTCATGTCCCTTGAAGTCGGAAGCACGTCGTCTGGGGTGGATCCGCTGAGTCGATCCTGAGGCACAGCCAGGAGCAGATGGGAAAGGAGCGGCCGGGATGCGGCGAAGTCCATGGGAATTGGTGAAAATCAGATGGGATAATAATGGGATAATAATGGGATAATAATGGGATAATAGTGGGATAATAATGGGATAATAATGGGATAGTGGGATAATAGTGGGATAATAGTGGGATAATAGTGGGATAATAGTGGGATAATAATGGGATAATAGTGGGATAATAGTGGGATAATAATGGGATAATAATGGGATAATAATGGGATAATAGTGGGATAGTGGGATAATAGTGGGATAATAGTGGGATAATAGTGGGATAATAATGGGATAATAATGGGATGGGATAATAGTGGGATAATCATGGGATAATAGTGGGATAATAGTGGGATAATAGTGGGATAATAGTGGGATAATAGTGGGATAATAATGGGATAATAGTGGGATAATAGTGGGATAATAATGGGATAATAGTGGGATAATAGTGGGATAATAGTGGGATAATAGTGGGATAATAGTGGGATAATAGTGGGATAATAATGGGATAGTGGGATAGTAATGGGATAGTGGGATAATAATGGGATAGTGGGATAATAATGGGATAGTGGGATAATAGTGGGATAATAGTGGGATAATAGTGGGATAATAATGGGATAATTTTGGGGGATAATAATGGGATAGTGGGATAATCATGGGGTAATAGTGGGATAATAATGGGATAGTGGGATAATAGTGGGATAATAATGGGATAATAGTGGGATAATAGTGGGATAATAGTGGGATAGTGGGATAATAGTGGAATAATAATGGGATAATAGTGGGATAATAATGGGATAGTGGGATAATAGTGGGATAATAGTGGGATAATAGTGGGATAATAGTGGGATAATAGTGGGATAGTGGGATAATAATGGGATAGTGGGATAATAGTGGGATAATAGTGGGATAATAGTGGGATAATAGTGGGATAATAGTGGGATAATAATGGGATAATTTTGGGGGATAATAATGGGATAGTGGGATAATCATGGGGTAATAGTGGGATAATAATGGGATAGTGGGATAATAGTGGGATAATAATGGGATAATAGTGGGATAATAATGGGATAGTGGGATAATAGTGGGATAATAATGGGATAATAGTGGGATAATAGTGGGATAATAGTGGGATAATAATGGGATAATAGTGGGATAATAGTGGGATAATAGTGGGATAATAGTGGGATAATAATGGGATAGTAGTGGGATAATAATGGGATAATAGTGGGATAATAATGAAATAATAGTGGAATAATAGTGGGATAATAGTGAGATAATAATGGGATAGTAGTGGGATAATAGTGGCATAATAGTGGGATAATAATGGGATAATAGTGGGATAATAATGGGATAATAATGGGATAGTGGGATAATAGTGGGATAATAGTGGGATAATAATGGGATAGTGGGATAATAGTGGGATAATAGTGGAATAATATTGGGATAGTTGGATAATAGTGGGATAATAATGGGATAGTAGTGGGATAATAGTGGGATAATAGTGGGATAATAGTGGGATAATAATGGGATAGTAGTGGGATAATAATGGGATAATAGATAATAATGGGATAATAAGTGGGATAATAGTGGGATAATAGTGGGATAATAATGGGATAATAGTGGGATAATAATGGGATAATAATGGGATAGTGGGATAATAGTGGGATAATAATGGGATAATAGTGGGATAATAATGGGATAGTGGGATAATAGTGGGATAATAGTGGAATAATATTGGGGGATAGTTGGATAATAGTGGGATAATAATGGGATAGTAGTGGGATAATAGTGGGATAATAGTGGGATAATAGTGGGATAATAATGGGATAGTAGTGGGATAATAATGGGATAATAGTGGGATAATAATGGGATAGTGGGATACTAGTGGGATAATAGTGGGATAATAATCGGATAGTGGGATAATAATGGGATAATAGTGGGATAATAATGGGATAGTGGGATACTAGTGGGATAATAGTGGGATAATAATCGGATAGTGGGATAATAATGGGATAATAATGGGATAATAGTGGGATAATAGTGGGATAATAGTGGGATAATAATGGGATAGTAGTGGGATAATAATGGGATAATAGTGGGATAATAATGGGATAATAATGGGATAGTGGGATAATAGTGGGATAATAGTGGGATAGTGGGATAATAGTGGGATAATAGTGAAATAATAATGGGATAGTGGGATAATAGTGGGATAATAGTGGAATAATAATGGGATAATAGTGGGATAATACTGGGATAATAGTGGGATAATAGTGGGATAATAGTGGGATAATAGTGGGATAATAATGGGACAATAGTGGGATAATAGTGGGATAATAATGGGATAATAGTGGGATAATAGTGGGATAATCATGGGATGATAGCGGGATAATAGTGGGATAATAATGGGATAATAGTGGGATAATAGTGGGATAATAGTGGGATGATAGTGGGACAATAATGGGATAATAGTGGGATAATAGTGGGATAATAGTGGGATAATAGTGGGATAATAATGGGATAATAGTGGGATAATAGTGGGACAATAGTGGGATAATAGTGGGATAATAGTGGGATAATAGTGGGGTACTGTCGTGACGGGATAGTAGTGGGATAATCATGGGATAATAGTGGGATAATAGTGGGATAATAGTGGGACATAAGGGGAAAGAGCCTGGAAGAAATGGGAAATGATGGGATAGTATTGGATAGCAATGGGATAATCATGGGATGTCAAGTCAATTTGTGGTTATACCTAGTTGGTTGATGATGAATTGGAATTATACATTACCATCATAATCCATACCCTTTGGTAATTTAACAGCTATTGAAAATTGCAAATTATAGTTGATTTACCCACTAAAAATGGTGATTTTCAACAGCTATGTTAGTTTACCAGAGGGTATATGATTATCATCAACCAAATAGGTACACCATCAATCATTAACCTTCAATCATCAGCCCAACAAAGGGATTACGACCATGGATACCTTCTGGTAAACGTTAACAAGAAACTATGGAAAATCCACCCATTGTTAAGTTCGGTAAATCAACTAACTTTCGCCATGGCTTCAATAGCAAACTGTTAGTCAGTACCAGATGGTAGGGACAATCCCATTTTAAAAATCATAACTAACCCATGAATTGGGAACCACGTTCTTGACCTGGCACAAAGGAACGACATTTCGGGCTTTGAACACTGCTCAACTTGTGGTTTTCAATGATTTAGTCACATAGAATTGAGATGCGTTGACCTGTGAGAAAATGGGGTGCCAGTGATTACTTGTGCATTTACGGTTGTAATTATGTGTATATATATATATACCTTGAGTCTCCCTGCACCGTTTTCATTTGCCTTTTCTTTTGTGCATTCAATGTTTAGCCTTTGTGAAATAACAAAGGCGCAGGAACTTGAACAAGGCGCAGGTAGATTCCAACCACGCTATCATCTGGTGTTTTGCCTGATAACCCTGTGCAATAGATGTAATCATATCAATCCGTGCAAAAACATTGGTAGCACCGCTGAGGTTAAAAACCACGGTGGCGTTTCCAATCCATTTGACATGATTCGTGGCCATCACTATTCCAAGGACTCTGAACATCCCAAAAGGGTTGAAAAAGGATACCCTCTGATAATTTCACATAGCTATTGAAAATTGCCATTTATAGTGGATTTACCCATAAAAAAAATTGTGATTTTCCATAGTTTTCTGTATGTTTACCAGAGGGTAGGTTGGATGATGATGCACCCCAAAACACTCCAAACACGGACGCGAAAAGACGCTTTCTGGATGCAAAAAGACGCCTTTTGGACGCTAGGACGCTCCCCTTTAATGCCAATAATTCCAAAAAGATGCGCAGTGCTTGGGGATTAGGAGATTCTACAGTCTCTTGAAAAAGATTTGGCATTTTTTTTGATTGCAACTGATGCACGCCAATCAACATTAGTTTAACATAGTTTAAAGCATTGTGATGTAAATGATAAACCCTCTCTGCACCAAGACTGCTCACCAGTCCGATGCTGTCTACCACAACCCCATTGTGTGACTCTCCAATGACTTGCAACGTGTCCCCGAGAAGCACTGAAGATCCCAAAAAAGCTGCCTGGCATACATACTGAGATTGTGAAAAAAGGCGCAGCACCCTTTCCGGATGTTTTTTGACAACGCAATTAAAAAAAGGCTCATTGGAGACTATATATATATATATAGGTTTTCCCTAAATCGCCATAGTTGTAGGTGTTGTATCCCAATATGTTCTTGCTGGAATCCGATTTTTTCCATCTTTATAACTCAGTTGATGACCTGCGGCTCTGTTTGATGATCAATATTTGTTTCTGGCTTATTAACTTCAATCATCAAGCCCCTTATCTCAGGGGTGAACCCTTGGGCACCCGCCCGCTTCACCCGGATGCCCAAGCAAATTTCGAGGATCAAGCAGAGATACAAAAGAAGAAACATGTTAATTAATGTATAAAATGAATGTGACCATTGTGGTACATTGGTTTATGGTGGTTTCACATTTCATGGTGAACCAGCATAAAGTAGGCAACATCCTACTTTATCCTCATTGTTTGCTAAGTGTTTACTCTTCACACATATTTTTTTTCAGAGTTTGGTTTTCCACACGTTCACCCAATGTTTGCCCAGGAGCTGAGCGATAAGAACCAGGCCCCAAAACACACAGCGACATGCTGCGACGAAATCGGGGTGTGAATTGATCCAGCGGAGATTTTTGTGGGATTGAAGCATTCCAAGTGTGGCTTTACCCTCTGGTAAACATACACAAAAGCTATTGAAAATGGCCATTTATAGTTGATTTTCCCATTAAAAATGGTGATTTCCCATTAAAAAGGGTGATACCCTCTGGTAAACATACAGAAAACTATGGAAAATCCAGCCATTTTTGATGGGTAGATCAACTATTTCTATGGCAATGTTCAGTAGCTATGTAACAAATTAACAGAGGGCAACTTGGTTGAACCATCAGAGTGGATGTTTTTTACGGTTTAACGATCAAAACAAAGAGGTTTGAACAAAGTGTGGATTTGATCCATACATAAAAAATGATGGGGTTTTACCTAGAAGTAACATTCATCTCATGTAAAACGACGCCCAATTTCTGATGTAAAACGAGGAGAATGTCACATAATTTGACCGGAAAACATACAGTATCCTATGACAACTTTGTTGGTAAACATCCATAGACTAATGGTTTATGAACATGCATATGACCCGCTAAAACCGCTGTCTTGTTGGTGTCATGACCGCTATATCCCACATTGCTATAGATCTAGATCACTCCAATTCATAGTGTTTCCACATATTTTGCCAAGTTTTCATCTTGTGTTCACCACACTTTTGGGTTACCTAAAATAGGGTACGTACCTCTAGATCATCCATTCAAAAAGGATGTTCCATTGTAAACCATCCATTTGTTTGTTACTCTCTGGTACTTTGTAAACAACTATGGAAAATCCACCCATTGTTCATGGCAAAACTCACTATTTCCATGGCAATTTTCAATAGCTTTTTGTATGTTTACCAGAGCGTTATAAACCATCCATTTTTGGGCTATAAACCATCCATTTTTGGGTTATAAACCATCCATTTTTGGGTTATAAACCATCCATTTTTGGGTTATAAACCATCCATTTTGGGGTTATAAACCATCAATTTTCGGGTTATAAACCATCCATTTTTGAGTTATAAACCATCCATTTTTGGGTTATAAACCATCCATTTTTGGGTTATAAACCATCCATTTTTGGGTTATAAAACAACCAATTTGGGGTTATAAACCATCCATTTTCGGGTTATAAACCATCCATTTTTGAGTTATAAACCATCCATTTTTGGCTTCATTTTAGGACCTCCCCCCATATTTTCCCCATGGCACTTTTCCAAAAGCCTTCGCCCAGATGGGCGGCAGCCGCCGCAATTCCCTGCGCCGTCCGGTGCGAGGTGGGCTGGACGTTCACCTTGGGTGGTACCCTCCTGTGATGTGAACGTTGGTTTATAAACCACATGAAAACTATAGCTGGGAACATTTTCTCAAGACACCCAACGTTCAATTTTTGTTTAACTATATTATATATACTATATATATATATATATATGGTTGGTGGTTTGGAACATTTTTTATCCATAGTATATGGGATAATCCTTCCCATTGACTAATATTTTTAAGAGGGGCTGAAACCACCAACCAGCTATAGTGATAAGTATGATAAACCATAGAAAGTTCGTTGATTTACCCAGCTGGAAAATGGGTGGATTTTCCATAATAAATAATAGTAATACTGGTTGGTGGTTGAGCAGTAATGGGAATGATTATCCCATATATGATGGAAAATAAAAGATGTGTGAAACCACCAACTAGTTATAAGTATAGTAAACCATATAGTTATTGGAGTTATTTGCATCAACTTAGCGAACACGAACTCGGGCACTTTTTTTGCATGAAAAAAGGGATATAACCCGAATAACTGTGCTGATATCTCCACTCTCCACTGGATTTTTTCTGTTTTTCTGCATGTTTCATCCCCAAACAACTGGATGGGTAGAAACTAATCCTGGATAGGTTTTTGTTGCAAATGGGAAAATAACCATGTTGTTTTTTTTTAACTGTCAAAATATGGATTTTAATATGATATAGTAAAAACCCTATCCATATATTTAATCAGCAAAAAAAACAGCATTTTTTTACTATCGAATATTGACCATGGTGCGGCCCAGGACAGGAGGAAAACACCAATAGTTGGTGCGACTAGTTCAAACTTCACGATTCCGTCTACAAAGCGAACTGGACAATCACCAGTTTTTCCCAGGTAAATTAAATCATCTATCAATTGGGTCATTTTCCATTTTCCATAGCTGTGTTGAATTACCGGAAGTTATGCCTATCATGAAATGATCAAATCATTTGCACATAATTTTGAATGGCTGCGTATGAAATCCTCAGTCGTTATGAAGTACTGAAGTACTGCTCTTTGATTGATAACTAGAACTGCTAGAAATATGTGATAATACATGGAGGCTCCAATGACAAGTTCATACTTGGTGGCTCATAGAGTGGAACCCCATAGAACTTCGCAATTTCTCCCCATCTCCCCATCTCTCCAGGAAAAGACGAGGGAGAGGAGAGCGCTTTGGCGCTGGCATGGGCGACGTTTCGGAAGTCGCATCGTCAATGTGGCATTCACCCAATGCCATAACCCACATTAATGATCATTAATGTGGAATAAACCTATCTTACATTAGTACTATATAATGGTGATGAATTTAGGAGGGTGGTTTCAATCTCACTGTCACATGGTGAGTCACTTAGGGATGGTTTATGTGGGGGAACATCTTGGTGATAAAGACCTGGACAGATATCAAAAACCTGAAAAAAGGGTGCTTTAATTCTGTCTTTAGGGACCCCCCAAAAAAACAAAACCCTCCAATAACCATACTCCAGAAATAACTTAACAAAAATCCAAATCCCATATGTTCCATGACGTATATTTGCCTCCATGACTCCAGTCATTGGTGTAAAATGGTACAAGTTCCCCCCCCGGCAGCTGATGCCCTAGTTCCATACATCTACCATAAACCCAATCGTTCTTTGAGTTATAAACTGGCAAAAGGCAAAACTGAGCTATCTACGGGATCCCACCTTGTACTGTAGGTATGTGTATATATATATATAGCCTCGTCCGCGCTTCTGGAACTGCGCACACCCCGAATTAGGTTGGTAAAACTTGTCAATTCCGGGACGAAATTTCGTCCTGGAATTGACAAGTTTCATTAGGGTCATCGTCATCATCATCATCATCATGATCATCATCATGATCATCATCATCATCATCATCATCATCATCATCATCATCTGCTTCTGCAAGTTCACATGAACGTTAACATCCCCCTCATCCCCCCCCACCCCACCCCGCGTGTGCGTAGCATCAACTGCTTCTGCAAGTTCACATGAACGTTAACATCCCACCCACCCCCCCACCCCATCGTATGTAGTTCCAGGAGGTGGGACGAGCCTATATATACACCTTGTTCGAAGTACACTCCGGCAATCAAAAATGGTTGAGGTATGTTGAGGTATACATATTTATATTATATTATACATATAGATATGCCAGCACAGGTGATAATCTATGACAGTCTGGCTTTGGTTTAGAGTTTCAATGCATGACCATAATGATTCCACAACCGCAGTGTAAGGTATCCTGGTATTCTATTTATTTGTTGAGAACGGATAACGGATAAGCTATGAATATCCAATCCATCGATGACCTAGGTTTGGGAGTCTGGGATTCTGAAAACCACTGGGGAGTTATTGGGCACGATTTCACATGGATTTTTCACACCCAGAAGATCAACGGCCGTACCATGGAACCATACTTTTCTATGGCATGTTATGGCTCTCCAAGAGATCCGAGTGCCAGTTTTTTATCGTCTAACCATGGTCTCGCCCATGTTTTCTGAAATTCAGGTGGGGATGGGTCAAAACCCTGGTGCCTAGTGAACCCCAAAATAGCTGGTAAATGGATGTTCATCCCACTAAAAATGGTATTAATAGGTATTGACCCATACCCAGGTGGCAAAAAAATCAGTAGAAGTACCACTTAAACTTTGAGAGAACCACATGTCTGCATCCAAAGATCTGAGATATTGTTCCGTATACTGTACCTACATAGGGGGTGTCCTCAAATGGTGGTATCCAAAATCATCCATTGTGATAGGATATTCCCTTATAAACCATCCAGTCATAGAATTGGATGATGGGAAAATTGAAACCGGAAACCCCATCAAATTTGATGGTAGAAACCCATGTTTTTCCTGATATTTCCGGTTAAGATTTTCCCTTAAACCAATCCAATGATCCAGTTATTGGGGTACCCCCATGTATAGAAACCCTCCAATTTCCAGGCCGAAAGGCTGTGAAACCCCAAGAGATTTGATGAAAAGATGGTTTTAACATTCCTCTGCGCGCGCGAGATTCCATTTATTTTATTGTTGGCTAAACAAGTACCAGTTTTGTCCGTCATATTCAGTACATTGGCAAACAAATGCAAAAAACATATAGCAGTTATAGGTCAGAAAGTCATCCCATTTATAGAACAATAAGCCCATTTAGAACCATACGAATACCAATGTATAACTGGTTTCTAGGCCTTTCATTGTTTATGATGCTCAGGCAGGGAATCCCGGCCCTACTTGAATGAGGACCTGGTTCATAGGTTATATTATAGTGACCCGTTTATGACGGTGAAACTCTCCCATATATGTATATACATATCGTCAGGTACAGTCGCCCCATGTCGCCCCCCCAACCACGAGGCTTTAGTGGATACGTGGGGATACTGCAATGTCCATGATCCGTCAAAGAAGAAGGGGTCATGTTTTCAGTACACACATAGATACTGAAGTGGGGATGGGTCAAAACCTATTGGTACCAGATTTGGCGGAATTACAATCCATTCAGCTGTTTTGGGGTACCGTTTCCGGGTACCAGGGTTTTGACCGCTTTGACCCATAAGTGATGAAACAGCCAAACTCATCCCGGTTTCAATTTCCCCTATGTCCCTAGCGCCTTGAGGCCAAGGTGCAGGTTGCCAAATGCATAGATGACTTTGCATATCTTTGCATTTTTAATGCCGATTTGGAATGCCGTTTCCCACTGCCATGTTTGACTACTGGCGCCGGAGGGTACTTCTCTCATTTGCCTTTCCTTTTCCCGTCCTGCTTTGGAGAGGCCTTAAAATCGTCGGCAGGTCAAAGTGCGGTAGGAGACCTTCACAATCCTTGCACGGCACTCCGCTCACCCGGCAAGTCGATACAACAATATGCATGGCGGTCATGAACTGTAACGGAAGGAACGCACGCTGAAATTGAATGTATGTTGCTGACAAAACATGAATTTCTACTGGGAGCTTGGCCATCGTTTTGAGCCGAGGAATGTTTTATGGTCAATGGCATCCGTGCCAAAATGGGGGGCAATAATTTTTGCGATTCCTAACTAGCTCCAATAGCGCACAAGAACCCCGTGCTTGGCGGGGGCAATGTGAAACGAGGGCGCATTTTTGAGGGCCTTATTTGTTGCAAAAGATTGTAGCATTGCAAAGCAGATCTCTATCGGACGGTTTGTCAAATTCTAGCTAGAGAAACACGTAACAAACCCGACATGTGTTGTATAAGGGTGCTGTTTCCACTCCGGAATCATCCAGAAACACTTCAACTGCCGTCTTGCGATGATCACAGTCACAACATATGTCACAACTCAAGTCGTTCGACCTTAGCATGTTTCACCGGGACGAACCCTGCGATGAGTTCAACGGTTTCTCCAGTGTTAGCTGGAATGTGCTCGAACCATGTTTCTACTTCGTCCATTTTGGTGTTCAGGAGGCTTGGCGATCCAGCTGGGGACCCAGCGCAGCCACAAAGTCCATGTTAATATCTGGAGGGACTGTTCTCCGCCCTTACCCCACAACAAAAATACAAACAAAAGTTTTGCCGGTGAACAGAACTTTGAAGAAACAACACGTAACATCTTACAATTTGCGAACGCATTGTCCGACAACACGGAATGCAAGACTATAAACCCTGCGCTTGCGATGTCTTCAAAAATTGATAGTCATTGGTTCGGCAACCGCAATCATGTTAGGTTGTGGGGGATCCCAGGCACTGTTTGCGGGACAAAGGCGAAACTGGCAGGTGTTCGTCTCACAACCATCCCAACTGCAATGCATTTTCATACACGATTTCAACCAATTCCAGGCACTCAACTGATGGTAAACTGTTTGGTTGATTAAACATTGCCAGGTTGCGACCAACCACCTTGAAGGGTGTCAGAACCAATAGGTCCGTTTTTGGATGTCCCCCCTAGCGACAGGCACCAAATTTTGGGAGTTCGATTTGTTGGAACATGCAAGATGGTCGAATTCTGTGTGGGACATGTTTGTGTCACAATTTATATTTGGTTGTTCTGAAATGTGTGTTGTGTTTTTACTGTCCATCTCACTGGTCCATTCTCGCATGATAATCCCAATCGGTTTTGTTTAAAGAGGTAGATCAAAAAAACTGATCAAACATACGCCCATCAGTCTGGTTATGTCCCCAACATTCCCCAACTATGTAGACACACAAACAGCAAACCACAACGGCACCGAGGCAAGTTGCGGGCATCCAACATGTCTGTGAGACCTGCGGAATGCCTGGAAACCCAGGGCCTTTTTTTTGCCACCAAGTGGATGGGTAGTTTAATCCTTGAGTTTTTTGTTCGTTTTAGACCATGATTTGTGAATTATCATTGAAAACAGTCATGCTATGTCATGGTTATTATGTCATGATTTGTTGGTAATTTTTGTGGATTGTCAAAAAAAACGACTGTTTTTTTTTCTCAGTATTTTCATCCAACTCGGTGGGTGGTTGGCTGTGACTTAGCTAACAGCTAACAACAGATTCCTTTTTTTTGTGGATTATCAATATTGACCATGACGTGTGAAAATGATGGAACATCATTAGAAAATATGATCGCGGCATTGATTGGTGTCCGCGTATGTCCATGTCATTTTGGACACAAGCGATGATTGTCAAGGAAACTGCATGAATGTGATGGAAAAGGACTACAAATTGACATTGGATATTGGTCTCAGGCATTTGTTTAAATTTTATCCCTTCTCGGTGTAACGATTCATTTAGATTGACGTTCATTTTTTTAAGATCGGTCAAAATAATCATTAACCCCCCCAAAAAACGACATCACTATCCAGCCTTCAGTTCTTTTTCAGGCCTTCCAGGGAGCATGGCATATTGGATTCCCAGAGGGTATAGTAATGATGATGTTGGTTAGTCACATCCCTATATACACCATGATTGTTGGCAAATACCCTAAATTATTTGGTTCAAAACTGCTGACCACTATGTTGGGATTATTATGAGTTGATGTTATAGAATAATATAGAATATTGTAAGATCATTTCCCATTTCATCAACTAGCATAGACCAAGAAAACCACTGCGTTTTAGAGGGTTGTCCTAAATTATATAATGGTATATTTCTATGATAAGTTATATGTTATAATTGTAAACTCATGTTTGATCATCTATCCAGTGGTTTTGAGGGAACGGTTTGGAGCTATAGGTATCCATTTTCCCCATTCAGTAGCAGCCAAGGAACTATACATAACGATACGAGTTATCAGGAGTTTCCCAACCACATGAAAGATCATCCCTTCCAAACAATGGGATTTTCATGGACTTTTATGGACTTTTCATATGATTTTGACCAGCCAAAATGGTCCAAACCGGGGATTTCACGATTTAGCCATCAAGAAAAAATTCAGAAACCATGGTGGATGCCTGTTGGGGGGGGGGGCTAGGATGAATGGGGATTCACCATTTAAAATCACGGCGTGAACCATCAAAATTCCAAATGGTCAACCATTTTCAATGATGTCTAAGTCCACTCTTGTTTTTGATGGCTATATATATATATACACATATCAATGCTATCAACTGTGTCATTTTATATTATCATTATGATGACCATTAATATTCATGATTCCCATTGTATCAATGGCATGTGTCATGGGTCAGATAATTTTATATCTGGTTGGTGGTTTGGAACATATTTTTTATTTTTCTATATATTGGGAATAATCCCAACTGGCTAATATTTTACAGAGGGGTAGGTATACCACCAACCAGTCATGGTTTCTGTATGTCAGTAGAGTTGAATATTTGATATTCCCTATGAAACCAAGCACCTTGGAGGTCAACTGAGCTATCCAGATCTATCCAGATTATATTATACCCCCATACCCTCATGGCACCTATGAACATCGTGCCAGGCGACTTGCCCTTGGAGGAGTGCACCACCGTGACTTGGATCTTGCAAGCCTCCGGTCATCAAACATGGCGTGCTGGAAAATACACTACCCTCTAGTAAACGTTAACAACATAGCTATGGAAAATCACAATTTTTGATAGGTAAATCAACGAACTTTCTATGGGCCATGGCTTCAATAGCAAACTGTAACAGTCATTACCAGACGGTAATGCACTATTTATAGGTGATTTTCCTATTGAAACTCCCATTTCTAGTGGATTTCCAACTGCCACGTTTGATGACACCGGAGGGTACCACAAATGGCCATTGAGGTAGCGTGATGTTTTATACCATTGGAATTAGAGGTGCCTTAATATTTCAGACTAAGCCACATGTTTTCGTTTGGAATACGTTTGGAGATCTTGAAATCAGGCTTCCTTTTTTTTGATTTCAATGGATAATATGGATATGGACATCGATGAATCTGCGATTTCGATGGATTTTGAACAGTTAAAGTTGGAATTTCAATAGATTGATACAATTTAACATTCTGGAAATGGGAATAAACAAAGGTTCTGTCACCTACCTGGGTTAACATTGGATGGGTACGTACAGTACAGCTGAATCATAATCTATTGAATCTATTGCCACAATGGGGATATGTGCAATCCATATCCCTTGCACTAGCTAAATTAAACCAGGGGTACGCTGAGTTAGGTTTATTTTTTTTGGTTTAATTAAAAAAATCTTACGAAAACAGGGGGTCCACCCACCTCCTTAAGATTCTGAAGAAAGTTGAGTTGGTTTAATTTTGAGATGTGACCCACCCCATGGTTTAATTTCAGCTGTTTTAGCTCATTGTGCTGCCTCGTGTTCCGCCTCGGGATACTGCAGCCATGGTTCCTGACACGCGTCCTAGCACAGCTCCGTGAAGACGATCCGGCGTGGACAGCAAGGTTCTTGCACAGTTGGGAACAGCATTGCTGCAGCCCAAATGCTCCATCTCAAGCAGAGCAAGTCCATGGGAAAGGCGCTGCGGGACCATGGTAAACTGTTTCTATCTGTTTCGGGCCCCTTGCGTGATCCCAGATCAGGTCAGAATGATTAACCAAGGGGTGGGTGAGTCCATACGTACTGAACATTCATTCATCAGGACACCTTTGGCACAATAATATTCATGGGATTTATGGGCACCAGAATAATTAAACAAAGGGTGGGTGAGTCCACATGTACTGGGCATTCAGGATCAGTTCTTCCATTGTGCTGGATTAATTTCTTATGTTAAAAATAAACGGATGGTATGTTTGACTGATGAATTTGGTAAAAAACCATACTGCAGGGGACCCCATTTAATTAAAAAAAATTAAACCAGGGGTCCCACCCCCCCACCAATTACCGATAGGGATATTACAATCCAGCATTTCTTTAGGAAACAAGAAAAAGTTTTCCTACCTAAGCTAGCTTGCCAATCCAAAACGAAAACTAGATCCTGCAGTGTCCTACGGCATGTTACTTATTTAGCAGTTGCTCTATAGTATAATGATAATGTGAGCTACGGTGGATGGCCATCCACCGTATGAATGGGAATCTATCCGGATTTGGAAGTCACCTTATTTTTACGATGGGTGGTTTGAATCACCGGAGTCCCTACTGATGGATGGCGGATATATCACGGTGACAGCCGATATATTGAAAAACTGGGACATGACAGGGGACGACGAAAAAAACTCAAAAAGATCACGTGTTGACTATGAACTTCAAAACAGTCACCATACAATAATTAATAAGTAATAGTATATAATAGTAAACTAAAAATACTGATTGCCGTCAAAGAAGCTCAGGTACAATAATTTGGTCTCACCCCGTTATTTTTTCAGAGGTCAAGCACCCCCCCAAAACACCCGTGGCAGCGCGACTATACATGTTCAGCGAGTCACAGGTTTAGAGCACCTCGTGACATCCATTTCTGTGGCTTTGTCTACTGTAGGCTACGAGGTTTCGGTTTCCAAAAGTGGGGCTACCCCAAAATGGATCGTTTGTAACAGACTTGAACATTTGTTTCTTAAACTGGATGAAAATTGGGGGGTACCCCCCAATTCTCGAAAACCTCCAATTGATCTTAAATCATCATATATTCATCTGGTTGGTGGTTTGGAACATTTTTTAATTTTCCATCTATTGGGAATGTCAACATCCCAACTGACGAACTCACTCCATCATTTTTCAGAGGGGGTAGGGTAGGTATACCACCAGCATGAAATTTCCATGAAGAATATGACCCATGCCTTAAGAAATTATTCCAGGGTATCAACTAGGTTATGGAATAATTTCTTTTGGAATAATTTTCAAGGAATAATTTTTGAGGGGGGTAGGTATACGATTATGCATGTTGGAATTTGAAAATCATGATCCAGCCCGTCAAGATACCCCGGAATAATTAATTAGGTTTTGGAATAATTTTTGGTAATTAAAAACATCTTAAAACATCTTGAAGCAGCCTATACTTCCTACATTTGGCCTGGCCTTTCCAAAAGCCATTCCTAGCTTGGCGGTGTTTGCCTGAAAACTTTTTGCTGGAAATGCCAATTGCAGTTATTTAAGGCATCATGCAATTTGGGCAATTGCTTCCAACCTTTTTTTGCAGCGTACTTGCACGCACAACTAGTGTCGACCGGACCACCTTTCTCTCACGGTACTTTCTCTCGAGAGCTCTTTGGGTGGCAATGAATGGGGAATGTTAGGAAAATACCTAGGAAAAGGCCAGGTTGAGTGCCATTGTGTGGGCTTTCCCCAGGGGGGAAATTATTCTAGGGGTATTGGAGATGCCTGGTACCCCTCAAAAATGAAAGCGGACAGCTAATCACCAAATTAGCCCAGAAATTGGCAAGAATTGTCAAAAAAACAAATGAAGCCCCACACATTTCCCACCCATTCCCACTATGGCCAACGGGAGTTTTTTGGAAGGAAATGAAGGGAATATGGAAGAAATAGGGGGGCGGACGCAAAGTTGGGAAAACCTCTAGAAGAGAGCCAAGTTGTTTTTTTTTCCGGGCTTTCCCCAGGGGAGAAATTATTCTGGAGGTATTGGAGATGCCTGGCACCCCTGAAAAACAAAAGGGGGCAGCTGCTACAATCACAAAACAAATCCAGAAATTGGCAAAAAAAATTAACCAGTGACAACCAAATATTTTGCTTTTCCCACTCATTCCCACTAAGGCCAGAACCACCAAACTAGCCCAGAAACTGGAAAACACCCAAAACCAACTAAAACCATGTTCAGCCAGTGGGTTGCTGAGAGGAAATTTGTTTAAAGATACTATTCTGACTCTTCTTGATCCTATCTGAGTATGTTGAAAATTGTTTAAATTTGTGCCCCAGCTCTGCAAGAAGGGAAACCGTTTTCGGCCGTTTGCGCGCAGCTGCTTACGATCACTTGCGTTTGGCTAGAAATAGACTATACCGGTATCATTTTGATGGAAATTATTCTATTTTTCCATATGAACTCATGAGTTCTTAGAATAATTGTTTTTTTTGAACTCAACGGGTGCCGGAATAATATTATAATTATTCTGAGGTATGTTGACGGGGGTATCCCCTTAAGGCATCCCTCATTGAAGAATCCATCAACAATTCCATTGACACCACATGAATTTCTCATGCGTCGCGCTTCGTCGAAACACATCGCCCCATCGCCGAAACATAGCGAAACCGACAAATAGACCTGTCCGAGGTGATGCTGCGGAACCTTCCCAATAACTACACACGACAAATGCTGTCGCCTGGTGAACAAAACCCTTGGTAAGGACATATCAAAGGGTGGGACCTTAGGTCTTAGATGGTCTTAGGTTCATTCGTTGCTGGAAGATGATTGAAATTTGAATGCTCAATGTAAACCAAGTTTTTCTGATTTTCACGGATTCTTTTTGATTGACGGATTTGATATCAAGTGAAAACAAACTTGGGTTAACAAGGAGTTGCGGTATGTTAACAGGTGTATATCGAGCACGTGCTTTGTGGATACAACTGGCTGGCTGTGGGATTTTCACAGGGATATGGGATGATCAAACATGGCTAGCTGAACAACGGACAGAATATGTTTCTGGTTGGTGGTTTACTATGGTAAATAATGGTTAATCTATGCTTAATCTATGGTTAATAATGGTTAATAATTGGAATAACAATATACCTGCTTGGTCGTTTGGAACCATGGAATTTTATGACTTTCCCATCATATTGGGAATTTTCATCATCCCAACTGACTTTCACTCATATTGTTCAGAAGGGTAGGGCGAAAAACCACCAACCAGGTTTGATGGGAAAACAATCCATTCATGCGCAAACGTGCTGCAAACGGATATCTCAACGATACAGTTTCCTCTCCGGTGAAATGTCTCAAGGAAACCTGCTGAGTGAGGCGGCACTACAACCCCGTAGAATTGGGGACAGAAAGTAAGATATACCGGGATATACTAGCCTTTTGGGTATGTGTTGATCATGTTTAGTTTGGTATCAAACCATTTGGTTCTGCGGTAGTGTTGAGTCAAACTTACCTTTGTGCGCCTTGACATCATGAGAGATATTCACCCGCGACCTGGGGTTCTGCTTATTTCTTGGACCCAAATGAAGTGATGAAAACTTGGGAGGTGATGCACTGCAATTCTCTTGCGTCCCAATGTTCGTTCGCACCCACGTTGAATTGTGGGGTTTTCGCGTTCTCTCATCTGAGAATTTTTGAAACCGTTTGCAACATTTGAGGGTGTAAACATAATTGACATTTTGGTTTTAAACATATTGTACTTACGACTATTTAATGACGGTTTCTCACACCCCCGGCTTAAGAACAAGGTAAGGGTTGGGTTCCGCACCGTTCGCCCACGAAAAAATCCGTGCAGGTGTCCAAATACTTGCTGGATTATCCAATTTAGAAACTGGTTTGTGCATAGATTTATGTATTGTGTTGTTTATTTCAAATTAACATGTACAGTGTATGTTTCTTGATATATATATATATATAGATATTGTAATTGTATACATACCCAGATGCTCCATGTATGGAATATTTACCAACATGTGCCTTAAAAATCACCCAAATGTATGATACATATACCATACATGGAGCATATGGGATATACAGATATATATATATATAATGATATATATATATAATGATATATATATATATACACATACATAGGCCATATCGGATATGGTTCACAGAAATCAAGGCCCTCAATGGGACGATAGAGAGAGAGAGGCACAATAAGATGTACCCTCTGGTTATGACTAACATAGCCATGGAAAGATCCACCATGTTTAAGAACGGTAAAGCATCTATTTCTATGGACCATCTATACTATGGCTAATCATAACCAGAGGGTAACCATGTACTGTTTTTCATTATTGGGATTATATGGTGGATATTTTCGGTATTCAAAAATAAATTTCAACAACCCCTTCCCATATGCTCCATGGTGCTGGTATATTTACTTACATCTGGGTGATTTTTAAGGCAAATGTTGGTGAATATTCCAGCACCATGGAGTATATGGGAATTATCCATGTATTATCATCATAAATTATCATCAATTATTCATGTATGGTATAATTCCCATATACTCATGGCAATTATTCAGGTATATCATGACGTATCATGATACATTCCATGGTTTCAGGTTGAGCATGAAGAGCACGGATGGCACCCCATGAAAAATCAGCGAATAATCGCCGGGTGGTGCCCCTAATCCTTAGCTAAGTTGGTGCAAATAACCTCAAATAACTCCCATTTCACTAGGGTTTTTCATGGGGGTAGTCTAACGGTTAACTATAGACAATGCCAAGCAATGGGTTATAACATATAACATGTTATAACATCTGGGTAAATTTCATCACGACCTCACTGTTCTCCCGAACCCTGGAAATCATTTAATCATAGTTAGTATACGGGAAATCATCCCCAAATGGCCTTAATTAATTCAGGTGAGTGAAATATGATGGCATTTACCCAGATAACATGTTATAACCCATTGAATACTGTGGATTCTCGCGAACTCCACCAGTTTTTCGAGGTGGCTTTCAGCCCATAAAAGCCATGGTTTCCCGCCGGATCTCGCTGTATCGGGGTACCCGGCCTGGAAAACGACGTAGCTAGCTGTTGAAAATCCACCCATTAAAATAGTGGGTATTTAGTGGGTAAATCATCATTTTTAGTGGGTAACTATATGGAATATCCAGCCATTTTCTAGTTGGGTAAATCAACGATTTCGACTGGGCCATGGCTTCCAGTTCGCGAACTGTAACAGTCATTACCAGGCCGGGTCTCACGGTGCCGAGGATGGCCATGTTGGACACTGAAGGCTTTGAGGGAAAGTGCCCCAACGACAGAACTGTCCGACAGGTCACAAGGGTGACAGGAACGGGAACTTTTTAAATCGGGACTGATTCAGAAAGCAAGAAAATATCTGGTTGGTGGTGACTGGAACATACTGGAACCATGGAATTTTGAATGACTTTCCCATGATATTTAGGGAATAATCCCAACTGACGAACTCATTCCATCATTTTTCAGAGGGGCAGGGCGAAAAACCACCAACCAGATATGGATTTAGCCAAGAAAAATGTGTGTGTTCAATGAAAATACTGGAATCGGCCCGAAAAATTTGTCACTTTTTCACCTTTTTTCACCCTGGAAATTGGTTGATTTGTTTGGAGCTGTGTGAAAACGCGAATGCCACTGTATCAGATCATAACACATCCACCCCCATAGAATCCGCATCTTGGACCCATGACAATCCCCATAGAATGGATGTCTTGGTTTCTGACAGCTGCATCCACGCATCCATCCTTTGTTTTTTTTTCAGCGCCAGGTACAACTTCCTGTACCTGCCCATTGACTTCCAATCCCGTGCCTGCTTGGGCTATGCGTTGCTTGGTGCATCCTACGGTTCTTTCACGTGCTTTGTAGGCCATTAAAACAAATTGCCATATAAATCATCTAAACTGGGGGGGATATTCCATACATAACCAGAGGTACAACTTCTAAACCCTTCTACTAAGTGGGATGCACCAAGTAGTGTATTTGTTGATGTTCATGCCCATTGTTTTGAGACAAAACCAATAAACATGTGTCTGTTGTCCACGTATACACGCACACATTGTTTAAAAAGAACAGGATTGATTTTATCTATCCTGTATATATATATAAACATATATATATATATATGTTGCACATATTAGGATGTTTACATGGTATAACCTATAAGTCGCTAATTTTACATGGCCAAGTCTACAAACCTCGTTGTTCACGACGTCAGCGTGTCGCCATTTTTGTTGGGATGGGAATCTTCCCTAAAAGATGACCTTGACACCAGCCGCTTGTTATGCTTCAGGCATAGTTTTCTGGTAAACGTTTACAGAAAACTATGGAAAATCCACCCATTTTTAATGGGTAAATCAACTATAATTGACCACTTACCCTCTGGTAAACCAAAAGGTTTGCTATTGAAGCATATTGAAGCCATGGCCCAGTCGAAATAGTGGATTTACCCTGGTGGATTTTCCATAGTTACGTTAGTTCGCCAGAGGGTATATAATGCGTATATATAATATTATATATATATATACATATGTAAATACAGTGTGAATCCTGTCAAAATAAAGGCAAATTATTGTCATGTATGTTTTGTTGGGAGTACCATACTATTGTTCGTATATATAATATATGTATTATACTGGTTGGTGGTTTGACACATTTTCTATTTTTCCAGATATTGGGAATAATCATCCCAACTGACTAATATTTTTCAGGAGCTGTGTGGGCCCGGGCCTACCAGAGGTGCAGCTGTCCAGCCAAACACGGGCTGGTTAGCTTCACCCAGGTTTTTTGTTTCGTCGTTTGGGACCCTGCCATGGTACCCACCAACTGGGGACAAATCAAAGTGGATGGAACTATTCAGGGAGTTTTTTCTGTCGTTTGCAGATCAGACGCTTTGGAAGGGCCACACCTTTGTCAATCAACTGATCGTCAAGGGGCAAAGATATGGCTATGGGGTCAGTTACCAGCTGGAGAGCTTTTGGGGGGGGTTGACTTGCAAGTAGTTGACACTAAGCCCATTCAACTCCGGGTCCTCCCTCGTCTTTTGTCTATCCGATCCCTGGCTGTGCTCGTGCAGATCTTGCCAAGGTAGTGGATTTGTGTTGTGGAATTGGAGCTTTCACTCACCTGTTGGATCGCCTTGGACTTTCACTTGTCTGTGGGGTAGATCAGAATCCACGTTGGGAAGCCCTGTTTCAGAGCCTTCACCCCGGTGCAAAGTTTGTGCATGGTGACATCAATGAAGCAAAGACCATTCGTGCACTTGTGGACTTGGGTTGTTTTCACGGTATCATGTGTGCTGGGATTAGCTGCAATGCCCATTCAACAATGGGAGACAGACGTGGAATGGCTGACCCCAGGTCATTGTCCCTCCCGAAAGCATTGCAAACATGTTTCATGCTTCAAGCGGCTTGCTTTGTTTTGGAGTGTACCCCGGCTATCATGCAAGACAAGGAAGCCCAGGCCATCATGAAGCAATTTGCCCAGGCCACAGGGTATCGTTGGTCACAGACTTTGGTGCAGTTGGCTAGGTCATGGTGTGCTAGGCGTGAGCGTTGGTTTGGACTTTTTTGTGCACCTCTCTTGGGAGTGTTCAACTTGCAGAACTTGCCTGAGCTTGCCATTTGTCCGACCGTGCATGACTTGATGACAGAAGTGAAACTGTGGCCACAGTTTGAACAAGCACAGCTCACCTTGAACCTCTATGAGCTTTCAAAGTACCATGCCTACACCAAAGGGGGTATCCAGTGTGCCTATTTGAATCGTGATGGCAAATTGCCTACACTGTTGCATTCCGCTGGCAATGCCCTTTACACATGCGCATGTGGTTGCAGAGCTGCTTTGAGTGAAGCGAGACTGAAGGAGAGAGGCCTGGTTGGTGTCTTAGTGCCCCTGGGCACATCCCAGGTACACATGAACATTGACATGGAGCACTGCCGGTATCTCCATCCAATTGAGATGTGGTGCCTGATGGGAGGTCTGCCTGAGGTGTCCTTTGGTCATAACCTACGACTTGCCATGAGTGGAATTGGCCAGTGCGTTGCCCCTCTGGTTGGATTTTGGGTGTTTGCACAGATCCGTCAACATGTCGATGGTTTCCTTGATTTGCCAGTCAAGTTGTGTCCTCATGATGTCTTGCATGCGTATGCCCAAGAGGTCAAACAGAAGTGCCTTGCTTTGTGGCCTGCGCCGATCCCACCTACCGTGGTTGAAGACCCAATTGAAGACTGTTCAGACATGATTGAGGTCCACATCCAGTGGCCACTTCAGAGCGAAGAAGCAGTCACTATCAAATGCCCACATGGGACCACTGGTGCACACATGGTTGCTGCGGAAACTGCGCTTGGCTCTTTGGACTTTGAGCATACAGTTTCCCTGGATGGAATGCCTGTGGACTTGTCCTTGCCGCTTCCGGCTGATGCGTTTGTGTCTATTGTGCCCCGTGGATGGTCTTGTCGTCGAGAGGGGAAGGAGAGCGTGCCTTGTTGTTTGGACTTGCCTGAACATGACTCTACTGAGGTGTCTCCTCCTGTCTCTGTTTTGCGTTATGATGTCCCAGTCACCACACATGAGCAGCTGTCCCAACTCAGGGTTTGTGACCAACCAAGAGCCGAACGAATTGCCATTTTGGCACAACAAGGGCCCATCTGGAGTGACGATGAACTGCTTTTCTGGCTCGAGACCACTGCTGCTGCGACCGAAGCATCGCAGAAAGCCCAGGTGTGGGATCCTCTTTTGATCTCAGGTTTGACAGTCCAAGAAGACTTTGCCACATGGAAGCGACTTGCAACCACAGTAGGTCCGGAAGCCACAGTAGTTTCAGCAGTTGCCATTGACCGTCATTGGTACCCAGTTGTGTGGAGGGTGGACCCTATTGGTTCCAAAATGTTCACATGTGCTGTCAGTGCTGAGCATGTTGCCGCGTTCCAGTCCTTGGCTGATGTCCTTGGTCGTGCGCAGGGGAGTTCTGGTGGCGATTGGACTTCCAAAGACCCAGGTTTTGTGATTACCCGTCACTGTGGTGCCATGGTCGTTGCATTTGTCCGTCACCTTCTGGTGGAAGCTCGGCTGCCTGTCTCTGCCTCAGAAGTTGAAGTGCTTGCCGGTGAACTCAGAGTTGGATTTGAACGATGCTTGCCTGAGTTCTGTTATCGTCCACGTCTGGCCGGTCTTGGACTTTTGGACCATCAGGCCTTACATGACTTGTTGTTGAGCCATGGGGTCGTTGCCGGGGAAGCCAAGTCAAGAGCTCAGGCGCTCGTTGCTGCGCTTGGGGACCAAGAAGTAGCCAGGGATCTTCAATGTTCAAACCCATGGCGTGAGATGAAGTGGCTTGCCAACCAACAGAGCCCTCCTTTCCTCATTGTCAAACCATCAGAGTTGCAAGCCCAGGTTCAAAGACGTCAGGGTCAGGGCACAGTTGGAAACAAAAAGCACAAGTCTCAGAAGGGAAAGGGTAAAGGTAAGCAGAATCCGGCCTTGCCAATGCTTGACCCCACGCGGTTGCGCGTGGAACATGGACTTCTGTACAGCGAAACAGGGTTGCCTCTCTCTCAGGTCCCTTTGCCTCAGGTTGGTCCGAATGTGTCCGGAGTTGTCCTGACCACCATGGCGCTGGCTGCTCCCTATGTGCAATCGGGCAAGGTGGTATCCTCTGGCGCGCTTGCCTTCTTTGTGGTGGACTCTGTGCAGGTTGTTCCTGGTCTTCCTTCGTCGGTCGAACGGTTGCCCCTGGTTTGTGCTGAGAATTCCGAGCCACTCTTGGTAGATGGACTTTTAATTCAACTTGGTGTTTCCAGGGTTCAGAGGCCGTCGGTTGGTGAGGGGTGTCAAGCTGTCAACTCAGTCGCCACATGCGTCATCAAGGCTATGGTTTTTCGAGATTCTGTCACAGTGCCTTGGGAAAAAGTGGTTGCTCACCCGATGCAGTACATCATCCAGCAGCTCTGTCCCTTGCAGATTTGCGAAGATGTTGAGTGCCCAGGATGTGAAGCATGGCACCGCACTGACCAGTACCCAGTTGATTCGCCACTGATTGAGGTTTGGGGTCGGCAATGGATGACACACTCGTTTGCTTACTGCAACCCTGAGGACTCGGACTTGTTTGCGGTTCACATGAGGTTGCCTGAGTCCTTGCAAATCTCAGTTCAGGAGTTCAGTGGTGAGGCAGGAGTCTTTGTCGAGCCCAAGAGTCTGTGTGGCCGAAAGCCCTCAAATGTTTTCCAGGTTATTTGGACTCCCAAATCGGACTTGCGCCAGTTGCTCATGCAGCGGCAAACCTTGCCTGAGGTGTGTGGGGTAGCACGACTGGGAAGTAAGTTGGGTCTTCGGTGCAAAGTTGAATTTGCGGCCTCACTTTCGGCCAAAATCCGACCAGAGCAGGTGTTTTTGCCTCAGGGTGACAAGCTGACTTTTTTGGTTGGTCCAATGCCTTATGGAACGCTGCGGTCTTCCTTGACAAAGGCCATGAGTGAGTTTGGATGGACAGTCCGTCCTTTGCAGCCTGTCTCCACTAGGTCAAGTGTCCCAGGTCTGATGTTTCGGGTGCAAGCCATCACCGAGCCACCAAAGAAGGTGATGAGAATGAGCCATGGCGATGTTGTGGTAACACGGGAATCTGAACACATGCAAAGCACCCCTGCAAAGCCAGGTGTGGTCGCTACACCTGCCACCGTTTCCAAGGTCTCCACCGAGGCGACGGTTGATGACTTGCAGGTGAACGATCCTTGGGCCCCTGCGGCCTCCAAGCAAGCCAGGCAAGCCCCACAAGTGGTTCACATGGGCAGCCCACTTGAAGACATGGAACAGCGGGTCATATCCGCTGTGTTA